TGAACCTCTTGACAAGACTCCAATGCAAACTTCATGCAATGCTCCAAACATGGAGAATGGATCTTAGCCTGAAATACAAAGTGGAATTTCAGTTGAAAAACCCTTTGGACAGTTAAAATTCATGCCAAACTAGTGAGCATCAAATTGTCTGGTGCAAACTACAAATTTAAATGAGATGCTTTCACAGCAATTGCATTTATTAAAATAATTATAGAATGTAATTTAATTTATGAAGGTGTTTAGCAGCACCAGTACCAACATGATCTCTTCATGTATGCAGATTCTGGACACAACGTGGAAATCGTTTTAAAAGTTCACAGTAATTATGTACCATACCTCTTTCTCAAACATTGACTTGATGTAACGCTGAAGCTTCCTCACGTCACTTCCTAGGTCACAAATTCCAGGCAATTGTACAAGTGAAGTTAACTCCTTAATCAGCTCTTCCCACTTGGTGAAATTTGCATATCCAACATCTTCACATACATTGCACAAACCGGCAAGAAGAGTGTTGCTCCTGAAGTTTTTGGGGATGTGTGCATAGATGTAAGTGCGTTTCACACCGTTGGGGTACTCCAAGAGGTACTGCTGAATGACTTCCTTTATAGAACTTTGCCAGTATCGAACAGGGCACTCTTTTCCATCAACCATTACACTTCTACATGAGGATGGTCTTGATACATTATCATGCAACAAGTAGTCAGCAAGGCTGTCAAGAACAGATTGCGTCACACGCTGACGAGTAAATTTGAGAGATTCAGGTGGAACACCTCCTCTACCAAACAGCAAGGCATGGACTCTGGCAGCTGTTACTGTTGCTTTTGAGCACTGGAAATGCTCAATCAGGAATGACTGTGGATATTCTCTTGCCACAATTGACAGGAGGCGCCTCCTTTCAGCTGCATAGGCAGTGATCCTCCCCATTTTTGCAGCAGCTTCTGTTCTCCTTTTGACTGAATCAGGATTTTCTCCGTCGAGAGAGATGGAACTTGAATGATTTGTGCCTCCGATTTTTACTGGTTTCTTAAGCATCTTGGCTTTTTGTCTAGCACTCTTGTTCAGCTCACCAGCTTTGCAATTCTGGTATTCATGCTTCAATGAATGTAGTAATGGGTCAATGACCACATTAGGTTTGACAGTCTTGTCTCCAAATTCTAGTTTCCACTTCTTGGAGGAAAACAACTCCTCCTTAAGGATCTGTAGTCCCTCTTCATCGCCATGTGCATACTGAGAGAGAACGTCTCTTATAGTGTTCACAATTACTGTTCTTAGATCACTTCTTTTTCTGTATTCATACAGATGATAAGGCAGATGTGGTATTACAGGTGATGAAATGCTTGTTTGAGCCTACGAGAAAAAAAAAACATTCACATAAATTCAATTATTTAGAATTTATCATTTGCACAATATCAATAAATAAAGCTTTTCAATAACATAAGGTGTTCTCCCTTTGACTGAAAAAGTGTTATATTCATTTGAAACATTTGAGTTATATATATTTTGTAAATATTTATTCATTCTTTTAGAATAAATTGTTATTGTACAAAACATTATGCTTACCTGTTGTGACGAATTCTCACTGACTCGATATTTCTCACATACATTACTCTCATCAGAATCCTACAATACCAGATTTAAGAAAATAATATTAGTCTATTTCGTTGTATAAAAAAAAAATGCTTTCAAATAATTTTTGCTGTGACGAATTTCTGATTGTACGTGTAACATCATACCGTACCTGTTGTGATACATTCTCACTCACTACTGCTTCCTCAATAACATCCACATGTTCACCATCCTATAATACAAAAATTGTGGAATAACAAAAAAAAATGCATGTGGAATTTGAATAGTTTTCAGAACTTTCAACAAAACACTTCTTGCAAGTCTTGCATTTGAGAAACAGCCCTTTCCCCCAAACCAAAAAATAAAACAAAAACAAAACAGAACAAAATGGAATAACTTTCATATACTGTATGTGATATAAATTGCACAATATGGCATTCAATTTACCTGCTGTGGACAACAATCTCTGTCTTCAAAAAATTCTTCTTCGAAAACCTATTATTTAGAAAAACTTATATCAATAACAAATAATACTTTTGTGGGACTTCAAAGCTTCATTTTGTCATCATGTTACATGACATGATTATTGGCCCTATGGTCCCCTTCTTTCACTGGAACACAGTGGACCAAAATATACATAGAACCCTTTATCATTATAGCTTCCATGTAGATGTCTAGTAAACATTTATCACTGAAATAGTGTGTTTGGGATTGTTGGTTTTTGTATCACATCTTTGATCAAAGTAAGATTTGAATGGAAACCTGTATACTGAAACACGTATTGGGAAAATCATAGCTTTGAAAGGCATATCCTTTAGTTATTACCTCTTGTTGAAAATCATCTAGAACTGCTTGGTTGTTTACAAACTCTTGAGCAACCTGTGTGTATATGGAGAGAAAAATAGGAACCCTTAGTTGTAAGTCAATATTGGTGATGCAAGCAAATCAACACAGCATTGGATCTCTCACCAGTATCTTCAGGAATTATTTTCACATGAGAACTACTTTTTGTGCAATACTGTATAATGAAACAACACTCTTCAATTACCTGTTGTGATAAATCATCAGAAGGATTGCCAAAATCATGGTCAACTCTGAGAGGAATCTAGAAAATACGAACAATGCAAATAAATGTTATAACCTAAATCTATATTTTTCTGTTTTTGTTTTGCTTAGAATGTATTTCAGCAAGAACTTGAAGCAGGTCTTTCACACAATAAAGGTTCACACAATAAAGGACTGATAGTCTTCTTGTGTTCTGCATTGGCTATTCGACAGGCCAGCAAAATAAATCCGTATTTTTGTGCTGAACATTATGGCAATAATAGCCTCAACCAAGGTCTAAACAAGAAGTACATATCACACTTTTGCGTCATTACTTTTGCGAACGATGATTTTTTGCTGTGTTTGTCAAAATCACCAAAAGTGTGACATAAGCTCACGTTGAGCTTCGCTTGCCATTTGTCATTTCTCGTCGATCTCCGAGGACTTATAGTACAATATATCAATAAGTCTTACCTGTTCTGTACGAGAAATTTCAAAAGCTGCACGATTTCGGCAGAAAATGCATATTTTCCTTGTTCTGTTGTAGTGCTTAGGATCACAAACACCACAAAACTTTTTCTCTTTGAGCGTAGCGATCCTCAGTTGATCTTGGCTAGGACGGACATGTCCCCACCTTTCGTGGAAAGGGCAACAGCAAGAAGCTTTGTGAGGCATCCCATGAGCCAGATTCGATATCAAAAAACGGCGAAAGTCGACAAGAAACGCTCCAAATAAGTTATAGTTATACTTCACACATCCAAAGATTAAAGATGGCGCCGCTCAAGAGCACGCTTGTTTTGATTAGTGCCAGTTCCCCACATACAAAAGAGCCAATTTTTGGCAGAAACAATGAATTCAAGACTGGTAACTAGAATATTTAATAATATGGCGGTAAAACCGAATTTTAGACGTATTTTTCGACGAGTCTGACCAATCAGAACGAAGGATTTTTGTTGTCTAATCCAATTAGTATAATCGCGTTCTTTACATGCCATGCATTACTGGTGCCTACTTCTTACAATGATCATTACATAATATTAAAGCATAAATAATATATTTAAAAAATTAATTTCAATTCTTTTCTTATGTCTTTCTGAATTCCATTTAAAAAACATAAAAATTATTTTAAAATGTATTTATATAATAAAAAGATATTAACATTAACTATTTTCAAATGAATAACATATCTTCATTAAAAAAATTAAACTGAGTCATAAATTAATCATAAGTTTTTAGAACTTCTCCTCTTTGAGCCTCTGCAAAAGAACAAAAACATGACTTTGATCAACAAAAACTGTCTAAATTAAATCATATTGGGGCAATAGCCATTACTAGAGAGCATAGATAGAGCACATGGTTTACATGGAGCTGCTGTTAAATAGTACAAGTTTATTGACATCTACCTAGTCCTTTTCTTCATTAAGTCATTTGACGTCCTAAATTAGAACAAAAAAAATGTAGCAAAATGTGTTGAAAAACAATGAATAGAAAAATGAAGTCCAAAATACAAAACATAATATGTACATGTGATATRAGTTGCATATAATTCATAGCATAGATCAATTCAGAAAAAAATCTGTGATGATCCTTATTAAATCTATTCAAAATCATAGGACAAAAGTAAACCATTTACAGCATTAGTGTTAATTCCCTCTAATATGGTAAATGAAGGAGATTACTGTCTCATTCCTCTTCTTACCTATCTTCTCTTAATTCTYTTTGTAGTCGATTAGGACTGTACACGCCTTCATTCCTATCACACATTTAGAGTAAAATAATAAGCATTTGATAAAAATAATTTTTTATTAGCCTTATTTAATTTCCATATATTTTATACCTGATGACTTGAGGTGAAGGGCTGCGTGATCTTGTTCTTCTAAACAGAATAAAATTAGATGGCAAAAATGTAAGCATGATAAGCAACAAATGCAGCTTGTACAAAATCCTGGTGTGCTATTTTTTTAGGATACTGTATCAATGTTTATMATATGTACCTGGTAACCTCAGAAGAAGGGCTGCGAGATCTTGATCTTCTAATCAAAATAAAAAGAGATTATGTGAGATGTGACATCCAAAGCATCGATGTTTTAACAATAAAAAAGGTGTACCTTGGCCGTTCTGGGCTGCTTGAGGGACTTTTTGAACTCATTMTGTAAAAAGGACAATGATATTAAAACAATCAGAGAAATGTTGAATGTGTTCTTCTTTGTCATTATTTGGAAATTATTAGCAATTYGCGGAGAAAGTAACTTGTTCAAATGAATAAATAGCAGGTGGAAGCTAACAATTGCTACATATTTTGTTGGAGGGTRGCTGATACTTCAAATGAATATGGCWTTGAGAATGCATTAAAACATGAATTTACTTTTACCTTCTGGACTGACGCTGGCTTAGGCTTCTTGCTGGACTTCTAGATCTCTCTCTGCAATTAAGAATATAAGATTAGTAATAAAATAAAAATACTACAGTAAACAAAAACACTTTAGTACACAACACAAGTTGTCTAATACTCTGACAAATCTAAATGCATACTGAATCATGTTATCCACAAAACAATCAATATTTGAAAGATGCAATAGAAGGGACAATGCTATGCATAGTTTTGTCTGAATTTGGACGAGTATGAAGTATACTACAATGTATCATCTGTT